AAAAATGGCAACACACTTCCATAAAACAAATTCAGATCTTGGAAATTTAAACTGTGATCACTGAAATTAGAAACTCAACTGATGGGCCAAACACAGAATAGATACAAGTGAAGACCAACTCAGGGAGCTGGACGATACATTTAATTTTTCCAGAATGTAACATGAAAAAGAAAAGCTAAGAAGCATAAGGAGAGGACAAAAACAAAAGGGAAGAGATCTCTTGAATAACACCCCCAAAAATACACATAAGATACCAAGAAAAAAAAACAGAAGAAAATGTCCCCAGAAAAAGATGCCTCTTAACAGGAGTAAGAGATGAAGACTTCTCCACATAGTGGTGTGAAATTTCAAAATATTAGGATGATAAATACCTAAAAGAGTAAATAAATAAAAAGGAAAGAGATGTTAAAACCCCGATGAAAGCAAAGCAACTGGATAGTAATTTCACTCAGTAGCAGAAGAGTACTGACTCCCTTCCTTTCCACTTGACCTCTGAATCATTATTAATCGGTATGTACAACATCCAGGCCACACACCTCTACTTCATTGCTGTTCATCTCCACCCACTCCAGTGACCTCGGTAAACACACTTGTGTAGATCACTCTGGAAGTATCACACTATATTCTCTGCCTACAAATACCACACCCACCACCTTCCCATGACGCAGGACTTTTGATCTCCTTTGATTTGCAGTCCTTTGTCTTTACCTCATTATCTCAAGCCATCAGATCAGCACTCCTGATTCAGTTTCTTTCCCCCATCTGCCCTACATTCCATGATGTATATCTTGGATCCTTTATTAAGAGCCTCCATCCATTTTTCATATACCCCGGTAATGGTTTGTGTCTAGATGTCCCTGCAAAGCCCCATGCAATCATAGATGGGGCTTTTTCAGAGGTAGCTGGATCTAGAGTGTGTGATGCTAGAATCGATTCATGGTGCAATGCTAGGATCAAGGACACTAGGATTAAGGGTGTGAGTGCTACCTGTGTTATGTAACCTGGATAAGATATAAGGGATGGAAGAGCTATGGTCAGCTCCTGTTGCTCTTATACCTTCAACCTACCAGGAACTGTTTCTTCTCTTCAATGCCTGCCTGCTGCGCCACCCTGCCTTGGAGCCAGGCAATTATGGATTGAAACTTCTACAAACTGTGAGCTAAATAAACCTTTCCTCCCTTAACTGGTGGGTGCCCGGTATTTTGTCTTAGCAGTGAGAAAAGTAACTAAAATGGTGACTCTCAAACTAGACTCAGCCTACTCCACAGTGGCTACAAACACCACGCCCACGACACAACCATGGTTTTTGTTTGTTTTTGACACAACCATGTTGACTGGCTCTCTTGCAAATATCTGATCTTGACTCTCATCTGAGTCTTCAATGGCCTCAAAATTGTCTGACAATTCTGTCTGAAAGTCAGTTCCCACACTTTTGCAGATGTTGTTCAAAACAGTATTCTTTCAAAGGTATCTGATACTTTCTTCATCTCTGGTCAGTTCCTATGTCCATGTTTCGTAGATGTGGTTCAAAACTCCAAAACTAGGGCTCGAACTCAGGACCTTGTACTTAGGAAGCCGGCCACAGCACCACTAAGCTAAATTCCCAGCCCTCCAAAATCTTTCTTTCAAAGTTATCTATCTGCCCCATGCTCCCCTCATTCCCAACAGGGCCACAGTATATGATCAGACTTTTCTTTTTTAAAAAAAATTAGGTATTTTAATAGAATACAGTGAAATATTTTAAAAGACATTAACATGTTAGCAAAAGCATTTTCAACATAGAACAATTGAATACCATCTTCTCCTTTATCTCTAAGATTAATTCACCCTTCCAACTGTACTTCACTGAACCGTCTGCCCTCTACCTCAAACTTTGTCTTGTCCACAGAACTCTCCTGTTCTCCTACTCCTGACCCCTTTACTTCCCTTACCAGCTTCTGTATCAATGTGCTAGTATACCTCAGACCTCTTTTCTTTTCACGTATAATGCTCCCTAGGTGACCCCAAGTACTCCCACAACTTATTCCGGCAGTATGTGGATGACTCCCTCTTATAACTGGTGATCCAAAATACAGCAAATGACACTGCAAAGTGCCAACCAAGGGACAGGTTTGTCTTCATTCACCTGATCTACCAGATCTGACAACACATAACTTCTAGCTCTTCACTGAAGTTAAAATGACCATAAAAGGTAAATATTTACAAGTGATTCAGGACACCGAGACAGCCACAACAGTGCAACTACAGGCATGAAACAAAATTTCCAGAACTCCTTCAGAAAGTGGCAGGAATGAAGGCTAACTGTATTTGAAGGAAGAGGGAATATTTTGAGGGGACTTACTGACAACGTATATTTTACTATAATAGTTTTTAAATGTTGAACATTCACCATGTTTTTTGTTCATACTGCAATATGCAGCTACATTTAAGAATTTCTCAGAAATGAAGATATGCACTTACATATTCAATGTGCACACTGAATACCATTCAAGGAAAATAAAAACAAATCTGCACGTAAATACATCTGGGTAAAATAAAAAAAAAAAACATTAAGAATAAAAAGAAAATGTAAAATGTCCTGGAGTAAAAAGACAGACTGCATACAAGGAAGGAAAATTACACTAACAGCAGACTTCCATATGAGATGAAGTATAATAAGATGTTAAAAATCTTTTAAGTGCTGAAGGAGAAAAAAGAGAATGCTGAACCTAGAATTCTGCCTGCTAGCGTTCTTCAAAAATAAAATGGATTTTTTCAGACACACAAAGCTAAAATTTCCCTCTTCAGACCACAGCAACTGCTTTACACAGAACATACTTCAGTATGAAAATAAGTGAGCACAAGAGTATTTAATCATGTTGACCAAGTCTGGATTTCACCTAGAAAACAGAAGACATGTGACGTGTATGTACTACGCAAAGGTGCCATGGCCTTAAGAAAGACAAAACAGCTCGGTGAAAATAAATGAAATTTGCAACGGAAGCATCAGCAGGACTCTAACTTAATTTTCCTTGAGTTTTTATAGAACTTAGTCCCAGTTTTTGGCTATTCAGATTTCTATAATTTTAAATACAAAAGGAAAGAAGCACTGCCAAGATAGCAATGTTAAAGGTATTTACCTATTTCTTTCATTACGAAAGAATCAGTGTCATATATTTATATATTTACCAAAATATTATAATTATTTTATGCTTTGCTATATAATCCTTTCTAGTTTTCCAGATGACCTGAAATTAAGAACTCCAATGACATTCATTTAATCTCCCTAACACTGTGTCCTTACTTCATTTCTTAGTAAATTCCCAAACATTAAATTCACAAAGTTAATCCACAGTATGATATTCCAATACACAGCATGAGAAAGAAAAAAAGACTACGAGCCAAAGTGACGATTACATATTTAATACATCTTGCTTTTAACAGCAATTTTCAAAGTAAACATATCATAGATCTTATAATTTATTAAAGATTTTATAGTGCTTGAAAAGTTGATTCTAAAAATATATCTTATTTGTTCTAAATGAATAACATTATCTGGAAGATAGAACAATAAATTACAGTAGTATATTTACCACCACTATATTAAACTTGTGTACACATATTTAATATAAAATCCTTTTAGGACTTTTACACTTTCAGCCTGAAAACATAAAAGCATTTTATAGTTTGGCATACAAGATTTCAGTCTGGATATCAAGAGTTTTAAAAACCAAAAAATTTAAAATATCTACATGACATTCTAGGAGAGCACAAGCACATGCACATACATATACATTCTCACTCAATCACACACACACGCACACACGCACACGCACACGCACACGCTCGCCAAAATAGGAGATTTTGTTCTTGGGTATCAGACATTGTTGATCATTTTAAAGAGAAAAACTAGGGGAAACTTAGCTTAGAATATGTTTAAACCATACTTAAATGGCTCTATTTATTAAAAAGGCATGCCCAACACTGTTACCAACATCTTTAACATGCAAAGAATACCATCTCCATTCATCTTTTAACAGACGTGAACTATTCACTATTGGACATGAGTACATAAGAAATTATGCACCCACTCATTCCCCAGACTGCTTAAAATGAGGTTCCAAATCCAGGCATTCCACTGACAATCAGTCATATGACTAAGCACAGCTAAAGTGGTTTTACAGAACCAATAAATTATAGAACCCAACAGTATTAGAAACTTCATTTTGATCTGTTTGAAGTTTCTTATCTGTCCCATGTGCTGAAGTAGTGTGACTTTGTATTGCAAATAACAGCTAATACCACTTTACATTTTGTGACAATACAGAAGGTCACTTTGTTATTCCAAAACATATATTCTACTTAAATGTGCTAACTTTTAATTATATATTTTCTTCCAAATTTAAACTCAAAACATTTTAACAGTGTTATTACACATAACTCCAGTAAAATCTATCAAAACAGAAAATTACTTTCTTGGCTCTATCCATTAATGCAGGTTTCAAACCATTCTCTATTGAGGCTCATTTTTACTATAATCTGAAATATTCAAAACTCTCTGAAACAACATCAAAATAAAAACTGACTATACATTTGGGCACTCATAACTCAAACTGTTGTGCCTGGAAAAACAAAAAGGCACAACAATTAAGTGACAGAGAAAATACCAGCTTCCCATTTGCTTTTTATTTTTGGCTTTCCTCTTCTTTTTTCACTAACAATAATTGTTCAAAGCATTCTTAAGACTCTTGATGACAGTAATAGAATATTTTGGCACATTAACATTGTGATATAATGTATGGTATGTTTAAAAAATTAATTTAAAAATTGATCTACTAATTAACATTTTTAATGTAATTCACATATATCTTACAGTTTTTAAGTCAAATACATAAAGGTTTGTAACTGATTTACAGATGAAGCAATCACAGATTGCATTAATAGTGTGTGTGTGTGTGTGTGTGTGTGTGTGTGTGTGTGTGTGTTTGTGTACCTATACACAACAATCAAGGGAAAAACAGCATCCTGGCAATTTTACAGTCCAAAGTTTTACAGTCCAAAGTTTTGTTGATATAATTAACATGCCCTTTCCTTGTTTTTCTGTACAAAAGATATATTTTTGCCTTCTTCAATCCTGATGAGATTTTTCTGCAATAACTTTACATTCATACTGCAAAAAGTAAAGGTTAAAAGTTTAACAGATAAAATCTCTGAATTACAATTTCCAAATAAACTAAAAAAGGTTCTATAAATGATGTATGTGTACTTTATTCCTCAAAGAATCCAACAGTTACACATTTACCACAATTAAATAACAAATGTTATAGAAGAAAGGTTAATTCACATTCTAGAAGTGAAAGAGCCACAGGCAAAAGCAGCGCATGGCTGACTTTTCTGCATGACAAGCAAATGATAGCAACATATGATTTAGATCAATCCTAGAATATGAAATGAAGCAAAGTAGGCTTCCTTTAGTGCTCAGTAAGGCAAATCAGTGAAGGGAAGGCCATGAACTTAAGGACATGACTGATGTAGTCAACTCAGAAAAATGTTTTTTCAAATCACCTTATGATTAAAGGAAAATATTATCACATTACAAAAGCTTCTGGCCAAAACAGTATTTTTACAGTACAGCTATAAAAATGTATAATTCAAATGAATTATGAATGTATGAATTATGACTTTTGAATGTATAATTCAAAATAAAGGAAACCAAGGGAGTTAGAATAATTGGGTGGCAAGACTGTTAAAAAGACAGCAAAATAAATCACTCAATTCTCCTAGCTGGTTAAAATCCTAAGTGACAGTACTTATTCATAAAACTGCTGTGGCCTCTGAATGTTACACTCTAACCTTTGCTACAATGACTGGGGTTATCAGTGATGTTCTTTTCCTTCATAATTAAAATGATCAAAGTACTGGATTTGCTTGCAACAGTTCTAATTTATCTATATTGTACCAATGTGATTATTAGTATTGCTCCTTTTCACTTTTACAACAGTTCTTTCTGATGGATAGAAACCTGTAGATGAGTTTTTAAAAATCTAATTTTTCCATGTGGTCATATACTTTCATCCTTAACACATTCTGGCCTTTCTAGTAATTTTTCTACATTTAACATACCTGGATTAAATTCTTCCAAATGTTTTATTTCAATGAAAGTGTAACAGAGAAATCAAAGAATACTGCCTTTACAAATTGCCTTCTCTAAAAGAAGGACCACTATTTAGAGAAAATTCAGCATTTGTATCTCATATGGACAGTGATAAAATAAGCACTAGTTTACCATTGCCAGTTGTCGACCAATGTTTCCCATTGTTATGCCTCCAGCAAAAAATATACATGGTAGCCAGGAACGAACATAGAGAAAATCTGGAGATGTATACCTAGAATAATAGAAATATTTAACAACTCACAGAGGAAGTGCAAGTACATTTAAGATAATTACAATGAAAATAAGTCACTTTGTAAATCAAATCTCAATTCTGAATGTGGTTATCATTTATTTACCTACCAAACAAGCACCAAAAGAATAATACTTACTGATAAACACCGTTATAGACTAGCAGTTGAGTGACCACAGTTGCCAAGAAAGCAATTCCGACTCCAAGGCCAAAACCACTTCTAGATCTATCAAAAGTCCACCAGAGTCCAATGGAGAGTGCAGCCAGTGTGAGAGACAACTGTATGTTGTTGTCAAAATCCACTTTCTGAGATCAGTGTTAAAGAGCCATCTCAAAATTTGTAACAAAAATCACCCATTTACCATTTACTTTTCTAAAATAAGAAATGCTAAGTGGAGGGAATGATTTATTCTTTATCTTGTTTTTTTTGTTTTTTTTTTTTGGTACCAGGAATTGAACTCAGGTCCTTGTATTTGCAAGGCAGCGACAGAACCACTGAGCTAAGTCCTAAGCCCAGAATGGTTTATTCTTGAGTACACTCAAGTCTTTTTTATCTTTCAATATAATATATGTGACTAAATAGGATTAAAACTATCTGGAATTTACTAAATCCCAGGTACAAAGAGGGAACTAATTAATAGATTCTACTGACCTATAATCTCTCCAAAAAAGTCTACATACATTCCCAGTTATAAAGTCAGACCCATTATTTATGAAATGCTTTCTTTGCTAAAAATGTGAGTACAAGCTTCAGAACACTAGTATTGCTAAAAGAACATACTTTTGTCAAAAAGGAAACCCATATTACTTCTCAAAGAGGTTTGGAATTACTTGAAAATCATACAGGAACTTGAAAACAGAAGAGTTGACAGCTATTTAACAGGATACCACATTCTCTGTATGATTTACTGACAGACACATTTTATAATAATGCAGTTCAGAAACAAGAGTACCAAGGACACAGTATCCCTTTCTATTATGTCAACTGTTCCAGTTTTAATTTGTTGAGGATAAAGCCTTGAAGGGAACATTATCTTGCAACCTGCCAAGCTATTTTGGTGCCTGAGACTTTCTGGTATAGGATAGTTTGCTCAGATATTTTATTTTCATCATCTACTTAAGCATCTATTAACAAATGTACAGCCCCTTTCTACTCCAAAATCTCTGGGCAGAAAGAAGCTTTACAAATTCAATTTTCTCATTTCTTTGCTAGAGGATTACACTAAAGGAATTAATTTCAAGTGTCATTAAAAGGGCATTATCTATATCCCAAAGGCCACATCTTGGCTTTATAACCAGCTCCTTGGAGGGGGGTACTACTATCTAACCAAACTAACGGGCCATGCTATAACTCCAAGTCCAAAAAAACAGTATATAAAACCATTTCCTGCTACCTTCAACATCCCATTGTTGACCACCATTTCAGCGCCTCTATCAAGCCTGCATTCGGAACACCCATCTTGCTGACACCTCAGCATTTGAGGGCTGTTGTATGTCACTCCCTTGAAGTCATTCCTTGCTTAAACTTCATTTATCAAGAAACCTACAGTTCATATAGGCATGCTTTCTAGAAAAGCTTTTCTTATTCTTTAGCTGTCATTATGCTTAAACTCTAAAGAAAAGGTTTTGAACACTGATTCCTCTGCACAAAAACATTCACATAAAGAGTGGCATTTGATGTTAACAGGGTCCATCTTTGCTAACTTTAATAAGCAAAATAAAAAAGCTTCAGTGAAAACAAGTAAAATACATCAATCTTAAAAGTAGTACCAATCTTAAAAGTGGCCAAGGATTTAGCTCAGTGGTACCTGCCTTGAAAGAACAAGGTCGTGAGTTTGATCCCCAGTACAAAAAAAAAAAGAAAAAGAAAAGGTAGTACCATGTTATTTTTAAGACTTAGTAAGCTATCATGAAAAGTCTATGCTATAAATGTTATAAACATTTTGGATTTTATAAACAGGGCAGCTAAAATGCTATATTTAAGTATTTCATTCAAAGAGTAAGAAAAGAGTGAACAAAGGAAACAAAATGTAAATTGTATATAATTTTTTTTTAATTCTAGTAATGGTTATTTAAATTTCTCAACTTAAAAGCAAAAATAGAGCCAGGCATGGTGGTGCACACCTGTAATCCCAGGACTTGGGAGGCTGAGGCAGGAGGATCGCTGTGAGTTCAAGACCAGCCTGGGCTACATAGTGAGTTCCACGTCAGTCTCAACTACCTAGTGAGACCCTGTCTCAAAAAACCAAAAAAATATATATATATGTAAAATGTCTGAGATACAAAGGTCTACTCCAAAAGACAGAGGAATCTGCATAACTATGGGGCTCCTAGGTTAAAAGAATGAAATGTTCTTAGACTGGATTCAGGAGCTCCTGTCTCTGGTCTCAGTTCTGCTTCAGCCTGGTGTGGTAAATAAAATAGCAAATGATATAAATAGCCTCTCTAACTTCAATATATCTTATCTTTATAAAGAAGACATGGAACTAGGGGATTTCTAAGTTTTTGTCTAGATAAGAAAATCTGTGATTCCATCTTTTTAAATCTTCCCAACAACTATATTTATGTTTTAGAAAATTCTAAATCTCAAAAAAGCTCATGAAAATAAACATGCTGAGAAATTCCTTAATACAAAAGGAAACAGAAAATCAAAACAATAACAGCCTCTGCGGTACTTTCAAATTCACAGACCTGCAGGACCAGTGGTTTCTGTTCCCAAGAGTAACACAAGGGCCTGAAGACCTGGTGAAAGGACAGGAACTGACTTGCCACATGACCCACACACTCCAGCTAACGCTGCTGGCTTCAAGCCCAAAGCAATATAAGACTACAAACTTCAGACAGTCTGAGTCACACTTTATGACTTCTCAGGTCCTAAGGTTCCTGCTACCTTCACTATGTACACCAAATCTTGTAGAAAAAGCAAGACAGGAGTAACACTTTCCAGATCCTCTTTTGCAAAAGGAAAGTCAGAGAAAGAAGACAAGAGGAGCGGAAGCAGAAACAATGACAGAAAAAAAAACTTTATGAGGGCAAAAAATACATTCAAAGGTAGACATTTTTTTTTCTGGAGGGAGAAGGGAAATGGTAGCTACATTATCCTTCTCATGAGGACATTATAAAAATACTCATTAAACATTAAATAAAATTTTAGAATCCTCAAATAATATAACTGCTAAAATATATGCCTTAGAGGAAAAAAAACAAAGATAACTTGTATTAATCTCCTGATGTCTCAATAAATTTAGTATTGAAATATTTATACGTATTTTTTCTTTTTCTGATGTATACATGTTTTGATGGATTCTGTAGTTTCTGGCCAAGGTCCAAGTTAGATATTTCTATTTATGCCACTTTAAAGAATGTTTATGTTATATTTTGATATTGATTAAAAACAGTGACAGTCTGTTTTTTAAAATTTTAACTTCTTTAAATTAAGAAAAAAAACTCCTGTATCTTATTGATTTCTCATTGCTGAGACAAAATAGCCAACACCCAAATTTAAAGGCGGAAAGCTTTATTTGGCTTCCAGCTTGTAGAGGTTTGAGTCCATAACCAGCTGGCTTCAAGCAGATTGGCATGGCAGAGGGGCATCGTAGAGGAAACACAGGTCATAACGGGCAGAAAGTAGCTAAGCAAGAAAACAGGGGGGACCTTAGCAGCTTCTTTCTGCCCCTTTTATATTCTATCTAGGCTAGTGGGATTAGGGTGGTGCCAAAGCAATCAGTGGACTGACTCAGTAGTCACCTACCCTTAATCCTAGCATTTCACCACAAATCAATCACATGCTCTAGATTCGGCTACCTCTAAAAAAAAGCTCCACCTATGACCACATAAGGCTTTGGGAGTACATCTAGACACAAACCACAACAACCTGCAATCCCAACACTCTGGGAAACTGAGGCAGGATAATTACAAAGTTGAACCTACCCTAGGCAACTTAACAACTTAGAAAGACCCTGCCTCAAAACAAAAAATTAAAACAAAAAGCTGGGATGTAGTTTAATATAGAGGAAATGACTTCAATACCTACTACTTAAAAAAACAATAATGATAATAATAACTGAAGTCATCACATGTCATTATTAGGAAGTCTGTTTATGTTTGTTTAGGTGTTTGTTTGAGACAAGGTCTTGCTATGTAGTTCAGGCTGGCCTTCAACTCACTACAGTCCTCCTGCCTCAACTCCAAAGTGCCAGGATTACAGGCATGAGCCACCATGCACAGATTAGGTAAATCTTAAATGAAGAAAAAGAGGAAAAATATTCTTTGACAGTATAAGCTCCAGTTTTATAAGACTGTATGGAAGTAATTAAGTAACCTGATTTAGAACAAACATAAATTTTTCAAATGTGCAAAAATGTCTAAATGGCACAAAATAATGGGGATTTAAATGAAGAGCTACTTTTCACACTATAATTGTGTAGTTACTACTCTGATTGCAAAAATATGATTCATGTGTTTTATGGCTAAGTGGGCACATCACAATCTGACAATAGTAATGTTGCAAGGGGCTATTTAATCTTTGGTTTGTTGGAAGCTGCTTTATTACTACACATTTCATTACAGTATAAAGGATACAGCACTGGCATGATTTATACCAACAAAGACAGCTACGCACCGCATTACACTGGACCACTCTCTTTTAAATTTATGTGGTTCTCCTAGATGCCTGTCAATGCAGGGGTATAATAACCCAATCACAGCTGTGGGAAAAAGAAAAATAAACGTTATCTCCAATGTTATACTGACAAAAATTAAACTGTAAGAATCACTATGGCCATGATATGCATTTTAAAGATTCTTTAAAAAGAAAAAGTTCAAGTTACTTAATATCAATCACAGAGATTATTAAACTTATCTCCCAAAAGGAGACAATACCACTGCTGAAGACAGCACTGTAAATGATTACAACAGTAGCCTAAATTCTAATAGACAATTCACTTTAAGTGTATGACTCACAATTTAGCGGCCTGGACTAAATGATTCATGCTACTTTTCTACTACAAGTATCTATGACACTTAAAAAGCATCAAACCAGTTAGTACTTAAGCAATGTTTTTCAATCCTCCATAGCCCTGAAATATGCTTTTAAATGCCACCAATCTAAAAGAGAAGTTAGAAGCACAAATACATAGAACAGCCTCATCATATACACAATGTTTCTGGGTGCTGGCTGTTCTGTTCTATAGATTAGTCTTTTCTCATCGGTTTCTCATGTTAGTCTTCTACACCTTTTCCTGACACTTCTTTCCACCCTGGGGTTCTTATAAGACTGTAGGTCACATTGTCAAAGCAGGAAAACTCCCAATACAAATTCACATGTAACATTAATTCTGCACATAGAAAAAATGGAGTAAACATAGTTGGCAGAAATACAAATTTTCAGATGAAAGTTAAATTCAAAGTTAAAAAATAAGAAGAAATCATCTTACTATATTTCTTAGTTTTGAAAAGAACATCTTGAATGTTAACTGTGAAATTAATTATAAAAAGTTACTGTACACAAAATGCATGATTGTGACCCAAAATATTCTGTCAATCCCTATTTATGAAACCTCAGTATTTTATTAAGTAGAAGAAAATTTCAAATTTTGAGTTAGTTATTTCAAAAGGACTAGATGAACCAAAACTTTATTTAACAAATTATAAAGAAAATGTACATCCACTGATTAAACTTAACAATAGCTAGGCAGCTTTAATTTGCTAATCATCCTCAAAATAGAATAATTATGCTACCATTCTGATAATAAAGACACAACTGTCACATCATTTGGAAAGCATCTTTGAAATGTCCAAACCCTACGATGTACAGTGAAACTGTTGCATCAAAATCTAAGTGGAGGGGGGTCAGAAGCTCCTCCCCAACTTAGTATTAGCTAGCTACCTCTTACAAATACTATATTTAATCTTTAGAGAAAAACAGAAAACAGTTAACTTCATAAATCACAGGCTAGCAGAATGAAGGAACAGCATTCCACAGGCTGCCTGGCCACCGTTCCATCAGGAGCTGAGATGCTGCAATAATGCATGTATTTTCTAGTCTACGAGTCTTTTGATTTAAGCATTCTGAATAGAGATGGCTCACAGACAATTAACAGATTAAAGACAAATCTCAGCAAAGCAGAGCTCTGACAACTATTACATAATTTAAGTTTCATATTAGTTCTATTTAAAAGTCATTGCTCTAAAATCCTATAAGATAAACTGACAGTATTTCTTTCTGACACAATTAAAATGGCAATATACACGCCTAATTGAAATACACCTTGATGAATGTTGCTTTTTTTCTCAAGGTGTCATAAAACTAAAAACTCGGCTGTCATTTCTCTTTCCCCTGGCTCCCCTATATAATATAGAGATACAAAAAGATATAGACCAATATAAATATATCTGTATCTACCTATACTCATACCTAACCCCTCTTTTCTCCCCCACCTCCACCTGATTCGCCTACTGCAGAATAAAATCAACTAAGAGCAGGTACTCCAAGTTAATTTTCTTCAGCAGTTGATGCATAGGTAAAGAATTATCACACGGGGAATACTGACAGGTATGTGGAAAGATATAAATAAGTAAAACTGACTACATTTTAATGCATCTGATTTCAGAATTGCAAGTGAGAGACAACTGAGGAGAGGAAGCAAAAACACAAAAAGGAATTTAAACTGCCACCTGCCAACTTTGGGATTTGCCAATAAAAATCAAATCTATCGAGTATGCATGGTTCTTGGCTGCTCACTGAGAGGAAGAACTCGAGGAAGCTTGTCACTTCCCATTAGCTACCTTCTTCCTCTCCTTTAAATAAAGGCATGGCAGAATCTGATGGCAATATATACAGCGCTGTAAAGCTTCACTGTTTGGGAGCTCAGAAGAATATGTCTGAGCTTCTTTTCCCTTCCTGTGCTTTAAAAAGAAAAAACAAGACTGTTAAAATTATGTCCATGTAAAATTATATGCAAATACAGTCCTGTTTGATCAAATGGTGCTCTGATGCAAAAATCACATTTCTTGTGATATCTTTAACTGCTTTCCCAGAAACTAGCTACAGTTTGCCACAACTAAAGATCACCTATAGTAAGTCATTACTTTATGATGGTACTGTGCTTAAAGCAGTGAGGAAATAAAAAGAACACAGTTAAATTAGACATTTTACAAGGAGAGAGAGGCTGAAAAGACAAATCCAATCAATGAGATACACTTCTATGGAAAACTACAACAGAATAAAATAATGTTTTCATTCAATAAATACTTAAGTTCTACAATTTACCTATTCTTGGTACTTCATGGAGATTTAAAAGAAAAAAGAAAGATATAATTCCAGTGGCAAAGTGACCACATACATTACTAAATGCAGCGCTGTGTTAGGAGAAGGACTGGCCCCAGGCCTCTCCCTGCATCTGGTGAGGGGAGGAGGGTGCTGATGGGTCAAAAGGAAAGCTTCACAGAAGAGATGACCACGAATGGGCTGTGCTCACCAGATGACTGGCATGGAAATGGCTCTCTCATCAAATTTAAGAGACAGCTGAAAAAAGCAGTGTTACCAGGAAACTGTAAGCTCTGGACCTGAAAGGAGCTTCAGGGTGTAGAAAGATTTAAAGAAAGATAAAAGCACACAAAGCCATAAAGTCATAGAGACTTTACCCTGCAGATACTGGGGAATCAGGAAAATGATGCCATCACATTCGTCCCAGAGAGAAGTAACTTTCCTATAATAGTCAGCATACAACACAGAAAATGAAGCAGAGGCAAAAGGAGAGACCGAAAGATAAAGATTGATAATCCAAGCAGTGATGATTCTTGGACCAAGAAAGAGAAAGATGTAAAACCTGGAAGCTGGAAGCACAAAATGAGAGAAAAGGGGGGGTCTTATAAAACTCTCAAGTGAAGGAGTGCATGATGAAATGGAAAAGTTTTTCTATTTTTCTTTTCTTTTTAAAATTACTTATTGCTTTCACAGGTCTGGATTCAAACTAGCTACTTGTGATATCTGACGAAACTTACCTACTTATTTTACCCATACCATGACAGCTGTCTATTTTTCTCTGATGTATTCTTTATAAAGATTCCTTTGTGGTCTTTTATAATACTCAGGAGGTTTCTAATTCTAGTTCCAGTGCATTGCACACATAAAGAAGCTAATCAGCTTCTAAACATAAGCACTGTTAAACTAAAAGCAGGAAACTCAGAAAAGGAAAATGAGAAGAAATTTACGAGACATCTCTACTAGTCCCTGAAGAAGGACTTAGCTTTCTCTAGGACTGTGTGCTAGAGTTTCTTCTGCTAACAGGTAGAAAGTGGTGATACTGGAGACTTACCAAAAGGTAACTGCTGTAAAGGTCTAAAAACATTAGTTGGACAGGAAAATCAAAAGATGACTATCAATTTTTTTGACTTACAATGGTAAGAACCTAGAGAGGTTTTGAAAATA